TAAACCATGGGTAGCCCTATTAGCACACTCCCACATGACATCTTTCAATCTGGAAAAAGTGTCGACTGCACAGTTGCCGCTTCCAGTAGGATGCAGCCACTCTTTCATTCTGACAGCTACAGGTACCAATTGTCAGAATACAATAGTTGGCAGGGAAGATTCCTACATCTACGCTCTTACAGAGTAACTCCACTTTTGTTGAGAGAAAAACATTCTCCTCTGGGTAGTCAATGTACATTGCAGGGATTTTAATAAACTTTGTTACTACTATTTGTTATTCTGACGACATAGTTGTTGTTTGTCTGTGTCCATGCGCTGAGTGACTCTATACGGGAGTGGTTTTATAATTAACGATCAGCCACTGCACCTGCAGGGCTCTAATGAGGAAATTTGCAGACTCTGCATCCCTTAACACCCCGGTCACATTGGGTGTGATTGGCATGCGATTTGCATGCCCTGCAACTTGCAAATCGCATGGTAAGTCGCACCCTATTTTCCGCAATTACAGCTGTCATATCAGTGCGGTTCCGACTTGGTCGGAGCCACACCGACTTCCAAAGTATTGAGTGCACTACTTTTGGTGTGATTTGCATAGACATCTGTGTCAGATGTCTATGCAAATCGCACCTCAAATTGGCATGTCGCCCGACTTTGAAATCGTTCGGCTTCAATGTAAGTCGCACGATTTCAAAGTCGGGATCGGTGTGACCGGGGGGTTAAACATGATTTCCCTTTGATGGCCCCTTCACACCACATACAGTGCAGTGCTTTTTTTCTGCATCAAAAAAGCGTGGAAAATAGGTTACTGTATATGGGTTACAAAGGTATAATTCTCATCAACACAGTGCATTCCAGTGCTTCTTAGTTCCAGACAAAAAAAAAGTACAAGCTGCTTTTTTCCTGCACAAAACTGAATTGGAATGCAGTAAAAAGTATCATGAACCCATCAAAAAAGCACTGGACCCGAGCATAGTGAAAAAACAGGAAAAGGAAGCAAAGGAAAAGCATTGTCTTATGAAGATAAAGATTTTGCAATGGAAATGACCCAAAAAATAATCTGAAATGCATCCGAAAATGCATAAAAAATACATTAATAAAGCATAAAAGATGCACTGGAATGCATAAAAAAAGCACATGCAGAACCACATGTGGAACAGATCTAGAGCAGTGTTTCTCAACCCTTTTTCGATCAAGGCACCCGTTAAAATTATGGGCAGTCCCATAACGCAGAAAAATCCACACATGTAGGACACCCAACATTAGAGGTGATTTATTCTTCCAAAGCAAATACACTTTTGCACACTGGTACTGACTAGTATTCCAGTGTTTCTCCTCTGCCTCAGTTTTTCTCCATCACTGAGCTAATGTTACCCCAGCACTGATGGAGAGGGGCAGGGGAGGGTCAAACCAGGATGCTGTGCAGGCAACTGACATCCTCCTTATTAACTGATGATGTAATTGGTTGTCAGGATGCTGGCGGCTGGAAGGTCGTAGTGGTGCACAATGAAAACATGTGGCTTTGTGTAACTAAGAGGCAGGCTTGTTCTACCCGCTGGCTTGTATACAAGTTTTGAGCAATTTTTATACATTTTGCCAAGGCAGAAACCTCAAGGCACCCTGGTTGAGAAAGGCTGATCTAGAGGATGTTTTTGTGGTGTGAACTGGGCCGAGAGTATCTCACGAAAAATGAAATTTTGTTGCAGGGAAAGTAAAAAATCTGATTTGTATCTTAGTGCAGACTTCTGGGAAAATCAATAAGCCAATCACACAAAAAGGAAATGACATTGTTGGGGGGCATTCTATACACATCTATGTACAGAAAGCCTCCAGGTGGCCATAATGCATTGCATTACACAGAAAATGACAGTGATGCATATTGAAAAGGAAAAGTCATTTTTAATTAACATTCAATAACGATATGGCTTGGGTTGCAATTGTATAAGCTATATTATTTTGTTTTATTTCCTAAAAATTTTTTTACCACAAAGTGGAGTTACCCTTTAACCACTTGCCGACCACAATACGTATATACAGGACCTGCCATCCTAATTTCTATTACAAGGGATTTTTATATTCCTTGTAAGCGAAATAAAAGTGATAAAAAAAAATAAAGGGACAGCGTAAAAATTAAAAATTAAAAATAAAATAAATAAGAAAAAATATATTTTTTAAAGCGCCCCCATCCCTTCTTTCTCACACGCAGAAGCGAATTCATATGTGAGTCATGCATACATATGTAAACGGTGTTTGTAGCACACATGTGAGGTATTGCTGCGAACGTTAGAGCGAGAGCAATAACGCTGGTGCTAGACCTGCTCTGTAACTCTAAACAGGTAACCTCTAAAAATTTTTTAAAGTGTCGCCTATGGAAATTTTTAAGTACTGTAGTTTGTTGCCATTCTACAAGTGTGCGCAATTTTAAAGCATGACATGTTAGGTATCTATTTACTCCCTGTATTATTATTATACAGGATTTATATACGCCAGCAGTTTGCGCAGCACTTTACAAAATGAAAGTAGACATTACAGTTACAACGCAATTTGGTACAAGAGGAAACAGAGGGCCCTGTTTGTTAGAGCTCACAATCTATGAGGAAGGGTTGAGTGATACAAAAGGTAATAGCTGTGGGGGGATGAGCTGATGGAGGAAATGAGAGGCAGTTTACAAGTTAGAAGCAGGATAGGTTTCTTAAAAGAGAAAGGTTTTCAGGCATCATCTAAAGGTGGATAGATTAGCAGATAGCCAGACAGATTGGGGTAGGGAGTTGCATAGGATGGGAGAAGTTCGGGAGAAGTCCTGGAGGTGAGCATGGGAGGAGGTGACACGAAAACTAGAGAGCAGAAGGTCTTGGGAGGATCGAAGAGAGCGGTTTGGTTGACATTTTGAGACCAGGTAGGTGATGTAGCTGGGGGCAGAGTTATTTATTTCATGTACTTATATAGCGCTGTCAATTTACGCAGCGCTTTACATACATGTTGTACATTCACATCAGTCCCTAACACTCAAGGGGCGTACAATCTAAAGGTAGTTGTGGATATATATTACAAAAAATTGGGATATATATTGTTTTGTTTTTTTTAATTCATCAAAGTGTATTTTTTCCCCAAAACATTGCGTTTGAAAAACCTCTGCGCAAATACCATGTGTTTTTTGTGTCTTATTTGTCCCTACTTACCATTCTCCTTGAATCAGCCACCTTACAAAAATCATCCTCAAATCCCCATTAATATTTCCCCATCTCTGCTTCTATTAATATACTAGTCTCATGTATACATGCAAACATTTGGGAATAGTGCTGTAAATGTGAATTGTTGAACAGGATTCTCTAGCTGAGCAGATACGTATTATTTACGATTGTTCCTGTAATAGCCCAGCCCTTTGGAGTGAAGTGAAACTGAAAGCCCAGCTGACATTTGTAGAAGAAAGTTCAGAGCTTTCACAGTACAGAGCTGTTGTGTATCCTTCAAGAAAAGATTTTGTTGATTTACTCTTGAAACAGTGACGCTATATTCTAATAGTGGTGAGTAGAAACTGTTTTTGTTTATGATCTATTGTAGTAATGTCACTTTTATACTGCTGAAGGTCTTCGATCTTCGACATTTTTCTTTTAGGTCTGAGAACAGGAAAGGGCTGGGACTTTGGGCAGGGGGAACAAACAAAGCTAAAGGCATGAGCAGCAAGGGCAGGATATCATCGTTTTGCATTGCTTGTCAGCCCTGAGATACTTTGTTCATAAATACAACATATAATATATTTCAATCAATCAGAATAGCAGATTCCACAGTGAAAATTGAGATGCGATCGAAAATATACAAAAACTGTAGCTGCTGACTTTTAAAATACAGACTTACCTATCCTTTGGTCCATTGGTGTCCTCATGGTGTCTTCTCTCCCCGGTGCCGGCATCTTCATTGTGGGCACTTGGCTGTGACAGCTTGCGGCTTCACACCTGGGTGCCCACTGCACATGCGCGAGAAGCGCTGCGCTTTGTGAATGGCCCCGTAGTCTTTTGGGACCTGTCACGTGTCCCAGAAGACTACGGGGAGGGAGGAGGACAACTTCTGATCGCCTTAGTGGATCGCAGCGGAAAATTCAAATTCAGGTACCCGCTCCCCAAAAGTGCCAATCCTTAATTGTTTTTTTTAAATTCTATTTATTGATTTTCTCAACATACAAAAAGAACAACATACAACACAAGACCTCGCAGGCGCAACAGAGAACACAGATTACGGTGGTGGTGTGTGTGTGTGGCACAGTGGGAACATAGAGGAGTACTGAGTAGCCCCCCTTCCGGCCAAGGTGGCTTGTGCCATCCCCTTAACAAGTAACAAAACCATATAGCATTTAAACCGTAATTCACATGCTAGCTGTAGAATTATCTCAAAGCCATTTAGACCAGACTTTGGTACATTTTTTTGGGCAGCCTCTATGTGAGTACATGTCTTTATGTAAAGGAAGGGTCGTATTGACTAGCGGTTGCCAAAAGGTTATGGTGGGGGGAGTGGACTTTTTCCAGGTAGTAATGGCCTTTCTGGCATAGAACAGGAGAAGCCCCAAGAGTGTCCGTTCAGCTATGGTAGGAGCGAGCCCTTCTATCAGACCTAGTAGACATATTCTTGGAGAAGGTAAAAATGCAATACCAGATACAGCTTTAATTATATCAACATCAGGCTCCCAGTACATAGCGATAGCGAGGGCACAACCAAAATATGGGTGAAGTCCCCCCAAGCAAAGGGAGCTTCTCCAACAATTAGGGGAAAAAGTGGGATCCATTTTGTGTACTCTATAGGGGGTAAAATATGCTCTATGTACTATTGTAAATTGAATGAGCCTGTCTCTGAGGGAGAAAAGTTGTTTAACCGCTTCTGCGCCACCCTATAGCGGAAATACTGCTACAGGGCGGCACAGGGTGCAAAATCACGTATATATATATATATATATATATATACGTGATTTTGCAGTGCCAGGCAGGGGGCCATTTGTGGCCTCGGTTATCAATCACCGGGTCCCAGCTGGCGAGTATTACCGACGGGGGAGAGACCTGTGTATAAACAACACAGATCTCTCTCCTGTCAGCTTCCGCACACTGCTTTATAAGGCTCTGCACAGCAGAGCCGGTCAAAGCAGTGTGCTTACAGTGTAAAGCATGCACACAGCACACAGTTAACCCTTTGATCACCCCACATGTTAAACCCTTCCTGCCCAGTGCCAGTGCTTTTTATTAGCACTGATCATTGTATTGGTGTCACTAGGGATGTCAGTGACACCAAGTCAGTTCCCCCCAGTGTCAGAATGCCTGCCGCAGTCCCGCAGAATTCCACACCGCATCAGTGTGAACTCAGCCTTAATCAGCATTTTTTGGCAGGTGTGTTTTCTGGCTGGAAAAAAAAACAAAACTAGTGGGTTTCTAGAGGAGTTTTTTAGCTGTAAAAATGCTCCAATGCTGATAAAAGCTAAAATAACTCTAAAAAATGCGGCTATCCGGGGTTTATGAGCATTTTTAAGCCTGAAAATTTTGTGAGAACATAACTTTGCTAAAAAAAGCAAAGGATGAAAAGCATTAAAAAACGCTGAAAAAAGCTAATACAGAAAGCTAAAAAACCTCACGTTTTTATTGCAGCATTCTGCAGCTAACTCTACTAGCGTTTTTAAAACGTCCAGTGTGCATGAGGTCTAAAGGTCCTTTCACACGGGCATTCTGTCATCAGTTCAGTTACGTTTCTTTTAAGAAAAAAACAGATCAGTTTTTATACATTTTTCATCAGTTTACATCCGTTTTTTCATCCTTTTTTCATCTGTTTACATCCGTTTACATTTGTTTTTCGTTTTTTTTTTTTTTACGGAAGAAAAATAGGTTTTTCTTCCGTTCAAAAAAGCAGATATTAACGGATACGGACCTTAACGGATGTAAACGGATGATCACCCGCTTACATCCCTAGTCCATAAAAATACATGGGTGATCGTTTTTCATTTGTAAACGGACAGATGAAAAACGGACATATGGAAAGAGGCCTTATCTTGCAGAAAAAGAACGGTTGTTGAACTACAGTGCAGGCTGGAGTTTGGCTTCAATTTGTTAGTGTACCTGAATCTGCTAGTACATCTGACATTCCCCTTCCCCCAGACCAGTGTTTCTCAACTCCAGTCCTCATGGACCCCCAACAGGTCATGTTTTCAGGATTTCCCTCAGATGAAACAGCTGTGGTAATTACTAAGGCAGTGAAACTGATCACATCACCTGTGCAAAATAATGGAAATCCTGAAAACATGACCTGTGGGGGGTCCATGAGGACTGGAGTTGAGAAACACACTGCCCCAGACTGACAATGCTGCTGTCTGCTGTCCCCTCTGTGTGGATTTAAAAAATAAAACTAATGCGGCCACCACATCTAATGATGGCTAAGCTGCAATATATTACATTTTTTGGTTTTGGGTTTAATACTTCTTTAAGGCTCCACACCTAAAACACCCGGATGTGAACAGTACCGTACAGCTTGAAGAAGGAGTGGAGCTGGGTGAGGCCTTCCTGCAGGAAGCAGAAAAAAAACCCGGACGTTTTATGAAAAAGAAACAGTCATAGCTTCACTTTTATTTCTGTCTGTGTATACCCCAATGTTTATAGTTGATCAGGTTCTTCTTTGACACCACCTTTCTGAAGACCACTCAGCTGGACAGTGAGTAATTGTAGTGTATGACGGAAGTTATTGCTTGTTTTATTCTACAGCTAAGGGAAACTCGTCCTGACCATGTACAGACTGGGATGAGTCACCCAACATAACAATTTGTATTACAGTTTATCCCATTACTAACCAAGAAGTAATATAATCCCTTCTTTTCTTAACCACTTCAATACTGGGCACTGTCACCCCCTTCCCGCCCAGGACAATTTTCATCTCTCTGCACTGTCGCACTTTGAATGACAATTGCTCGGTCATGCTACACTGTACCCATATTAAATTATTATCCTTTTTTCACACAAATAGAGAATTATTTTGGTGGTATTTAATCACCACTGTTTTTTTTTATTTATTTGCTAAATAAAACAAAAAAAGACTGAGAATTATGAAATTATGACTTGTTGTGAAGGATGCATCCTGATGAGGTTATATATTTGTCTCAGCTAGTCTTTGATGACAGAGAATATGCTTATCAGACTCTGCAGGAGTATACCCGGGATCAGCTGCTAGAGTGCATACGGGTCGCTCATTCCCTAGTAGGTCAGGGCATGGAGCTCTCTGAGGTACAACCATTGATTCAGGCTTGTATTGAGTTGGCTTCATCTAGTACCCCTGGAAGCAGGGATACTTTCTTCCTCCATTCAGGGCGAGTCAAATAATATCACTGGTATGGTTGTTGGAGGATGATCCAGATTGCTTCTTGGAGCATTATTCAGCATGTTCACCACATGTGCTAATGAAGTGTATAAACGCAGTGCAGTCTTTGACCAGACAGGCCTTGTGTAAACTGAGCGTTGTCCAACCCATACTGCAGACATGGTCAGACTTGTTACAGCTAGCCTCAGTCAGCTTGCAACAAACCAGTCCTGCTTCTCATCATTCTTCTGTTCAAAGCTCTCTTCCTGCATTCCCGACAGCACCCCCAGTGACAGCCCAGTATACCCTGCTATCTACCACATGTCAGTCCCCTGCTCCCACTCGCTGTACCATCCTGCCAGTATCCAAACCGGTCAGCCTGCCGTCTGAGAACCCGCCTTCCGTGGTTCAGCCTGATGACTCGGTGCCCGCTGATGTACCCGATGACTCTGTGCCAGTTGACTCGGTGCCCGCTGTTGTGCCAGTTGACTCGGTGCCCGCTGTCGTGCCAGTTGACTTGGTGCCCGCTGTCGAGCCAGATGACCTGATGCCTGAGGACCCAGTGCCCGCTGTTGAGTCACATGACCCGATACCAGTTGACTCTGTGCCCGCTGTCGTGCCAGTTGACTCGGTGCCCACTGTCGTGCCAGTTGACTCGGTGCCCGCTGTTGAGCCGGATGACTTGATGCCTGATGACTCGGTGCCCGCTGTCGTGCCAGTTGACTCGGTGCCAGTTGACTCGGTGCCCACTGTCGTGCCAGTTGACTCGGTGCCCGCTGTTGAGCCGGATGACTTGATGCCTGATGATTCGGTGCCCGCTGTCGTGCCAGTTGACTCGGTGCCCGCTGTCGAGCTTGGTGACCCGGTACCCACGGTTCTGCTAGATGGCTCGGTGCCCGCTGACATGCCCGGTGACTCGGTGCCCGCTGTCGTGCCAGTTGACTCGGTGCCAGTTGACTCGGTGCCCGCTGTCGAGCCAGATGACTTGATGCCTGATGATTCGGTGCCCGCTGTCGTGCCAGTTGACTCGGTGCCCGCTGTCGAGCCAGATGACCTGATGCCTGAGGACCCAATGCCCGTTGTTGAGCCACATGACCTGATGCCTGATGACTCGGTGCCCGCTGTCATGCCAGTTGACTCGGTGCCCGCTGTCGAGCTTGGTGACCCGGTACCCACGGTTCTGCTAGATGGCTCGGTGCCCGCTGACATGCCAGTTGACTCGGTGCCTGCTGTCGTGCCAGTTGACTCGGTGCCCGCTGTCGAGCTTGGTGACCCGGTACCCGCGGTTCTGCTAGATGGTTCGGTGCCCACTGACATGCCCGGTGACTCGGTGCCCGCTGACTTGCCAGGTGACTCTGTGCCCGCGGTTCTGCTAGATGGCTCGGTGCCCGGTGGCCCGCTGTTGTGCCAGATGACTTGGTGCCCGCTGACGTGCCTCTGCCTGCTGTGCAGCCCGACATGCCAGCCCCTGATGTCCAGCTAAACTGGCCAATAACTGATTCCCAGCCTGCTCCTGGAAATCCTGTGTCCAGTGACCTGCCTTCCTGGTTCTCCTACACAAAGAGAAGTCTACCAGTAGGAAACCCAGCCAGCAGGTTTACTCCGGCAGTAGGATATTCAGCCAGTTACCTGACCCGGGCGGTGGAACATTTGGCCCACTAAGGACTGTTTGGAGCATCCTGAGGCCGCTCCTTGAGGGGGGGGTACTGTCAGGAATGGACTCAGCACTGGTGGTGGGACTCACCTGCCGTGTGGGCTGCAGTACCAGGGCTGACCAGCGGGTGCTCTCAGCAGCCAGAAGCTCACTCCTGCAATCAGCCAAACCTGGGGCTGATTGCAGAAGGTGTATTTAAGGCATGACCAGGCCTGTAATCAGGGCCTTGCTGTATGTTTTCCCATGAGCCTCTGTACCTGGTATCCTGTGTTCCTGCTTCATTGCTGACCCTGCTTGATCCTGACCTCTGCTGACCGTCTCCTGTTGAACCCCTGGCTTGCCTGACCATCCTTCTGCCTGATCCCCTGTACCACGCTGCCCGTGAGTTACTGAACCCAGCTTGTGACCCTGACCATTCTCTACCTGCTCCTTTGGTACCTTGCTGCCCGCACGTTGCTTACCTGGCCCGTCTGACCACGCTAACTACTCTGACATCCATCCATCCTGCACGGATCCAGCCGTCCCTGCTCACACCTTCTGCCTCTTCACATCAGGCTTTCTACCTGCACATACCTCTGGCGGATCCCTCTACCACTAGCAGGTGTACTCAGGGGCCGCGACCTGGTTCCTGTCTGCTCCAAGTCCATCCCCACCATCAGGGGCCCTGGTGAATAAGCAGACTGGGACTTAGACTCCGCGCTCTGGGGAATCCTGTCCTGAGACCGCTAGAGGTACCACCAAACGGTCATTACAGAACCCTACGGCCGGCCTGACCATTCCACCTCTCCAGCCCTGACTACGCCTGTGTTCCTGCACGTATTAAGATTAGTGGAAGGTTGGTTTGTTCACTGTGCGTTTATATATATATATATATGTGTGGCTAATAATAAACTGTATTATTATACTATACCTGGAACCTGCGTTTCCCTGTGTCAGTCCACACCTTTCTGGTCACTCCTAGATTCCTGACACAGTTCCCCCCAGTGTCAGAATGCCCACCACAGTCCCGCTAAATTTCGCTGATCGCTGTCATTACTAATAGGAAAAAAAATCCCAGTATCTATACTGCCATTTGTAAACGCTATAACTTTCACATAAACCAATTAATTTACATGTATTGGGATATTGTTTTAGCAAAAACATGACGCAGAATACATTTGGCCTAAATTTATGACGAAATATGATTTTTAAAATTTTTTTTA